AAATCACTATTATACACCCACGATCATAATCATATGAATATGATCAAAACACAAAGTTAAGCTTTGAAATATACTTTTTCTGTTTGAGATTTGAATGACGTTACTGTATATTAATGTTCCAAATTATATTTTAAATGTTCAAAAATGTTCAAAATGTTATGCAAGTTAATCATAACATGGCAAATATTTGGCTAAAAATGTGCAATTTACACCCAGTGGCAAATAAATAATTTGTATGCTGGAGGCGCATATTTTACTAAAATTAAAAATGCGCAGTTAATTACTCCAAGGTGCAAATAAACCGTAAGAACTGCTTAAAGCAGGCCTGCAGGCAAATATTTATTACGCACGTTAGATTTGACCGTTTAGCGGACATTTTGCTTAGAAGGCGAAGTTTACATAAAACAATATTTGCACCTTATAAAATATAATATGTTATATATATATATATATATATATATATATATATATGTATAATATAATTATATATATGTATTTCATGGCTGGACTTCTACACAATAAAAGAAAGCGGTTGTGATTAGATCATCGAAAGTCTTTGCATCATTTATTTACATCAATTCTGAGAAATTATATCATTAAAGTAACTACAACAAATACGAATCATATACAATTGAGAATAAATACAAACTAAAAGCAGTGGGGAAATCTGATGAACTGAAATTTAAAAAAGAAACTGAAAGCCGTTAAAAATGTACTCTTATCTTATCTCTTATCTAAATACTGATAACTGATTCTCGGAAAATCACTTAAAATCACAACAAAAAACCTGTAAAATTAATACTTAAGTAAAAAATATAGTATGCACGTCTCTGGAATAATGGTATAACTAAATAAAATCTACAAAATATACTAAAACTAAAACTAAGCTCCGGCAGATTTAAAAAGTATATGGTTACTATCAAGGGTGTTCATACCCCCAAACCGTTCAAGGGTTTTCAATTGGGTCTGGTAGAACCCCTCTCTAGCTTCCATAGCCTTTTCTTTGTCTGCTTTACTAATATTAGGCTCAAATACTAAAGCGTCTACTATAATGACAGAAAGGTGCTTACTAAGTGAGGAATTATAGGAGGCTATGGTACTAAAATCTAAATCATGATCAATATCTAAAAAATGGTTAACTAATTTACAACTTCTTATACCTTTCTTTATGTGACTCTTATGGTTAGAGAATCTCTTAGGGAGATTTGAGGTAGTATATCCTACATACGACTGTTTACAATGAGGTTATAACTCTGACAAGATATATACTTAGTTATAGGGAAAACTTGTTTAGAATGGTGACTACTAAAGTTGGAACAGGGGGACAGGAAATTTTGCTTACAAACATAGCATTTACCACAAGCATGGCACCCTGGGTCGACAGCCCCGGGAACCGCCCTTAGACTTTCGGAGTCTGGTTCCTGGATCTGACTTGCAGTTGTTTCTCTCTCATTGTCACAGTTTAAAGTTCCACTGGCACGGTACTTATTGTGTACAAGCATGCCACCGATAGTTTGATTCTTTCGATGACTCACGAATACACTGTCCGCACGTACCAGCTTCTTCAGGGCCGGATCAAGGTTGAGAAGGTGCTTATACTTATGGATAATGCCCCCCATGTTGGGAAGTGCTGGATTTTGATCCATCACCATGGGTATTAAACAGGCAGTCGACTCATCCTTGTCTTTAAGGGTATACAAGTTTTTCCTATTAGCTATATCACTAAATTTGTTAAAGGCATCTTCTATAATACTGGAATGATAACCTCGGGCTAGAAGGTAACGTGTATAGACCTCTCTCTGCTCCAAGAAGTTAGTGTCTTCACTGTTGTTCTGTCTCACCCGCCTCGCCACTCCAAAAGGTATGTTTTTTACAACATGGTTCCTATGGCATGACGTGGGGATAAGGTAGCAGTGGGTGTCACTAGGTTTAGAGTAGAGTTTGGTGTGGACAACATCACCAACAGCATAGACATAGGTGTCTAGAAACTCAACGCCGTCCCTAGAGTAGTCGTAAGTAAACAAAAGGTTTGGGTGGATACTATTGAGCCATTCCATGAATTGTAATAGTTCCTCAACAGTACCGGGCCAAGCCATATAAATGTCATCACGTAATCTACCCCAGAATGCTGGTCTATGAGGCGGGCCATATTCTAGATCTCCTTCGTTAACTAAGATATCAATCTTATCCATAGCACAATCAGCATACTCACATGAGTTCTTAGGACCCATCGCTGCTCCACGCTCCTGGCGGTATGTTATACCGTTAAATGAAGCAATGTTGTAATCAAGAGTAATTTCTAGTGCACTAATAATGCATTCTGTACTAAACAATTGATCACCACTACTCCTTTTATTCAGGTGCTTAGTGCATTGTTGGATCCCCATATCCCTAGGAATGTTGGTAAACATGTTAGATATATCGATGGCAACATGTATAACCTCCTTTCCCAACAATATGCTAGACTCGTTCAGGCTATCAATCTTCCTCAGAAAGTGAGGGGTATCAATAATTCTATAATTCAAAGTAGCCTTCTTCAATTCATACGCAGTCAAGGCAGAAAGGTTTTCAATGTATGAACCACAGCCGGTGGTAATCATCCTCCCAGGATACAAAGGTGGTTTGTGTGCCTTGGGATTCAGGTACATGTTTCCAGGCTGGTTAAGCTCAGTACATGGAATAACCCACTCCTTGACCTTCTTGGACATACCTAATTCATCTTTAAACTCAATCGTCCAATTCGAAATTTTATCAATCAATTCTACAACTAAATCATCTACATTATTTACAATACTATATACAGATCTATCATTTAAATGTACACCTATTCGTTGAATATAATCTTCTTCACTAAGAAGGAAGAATCCTACTCCTTTATCGAATGGTCTGATAACAATGTCTTTCCAACCTTTGACTTCTTTGAGAGCTGCTCTGATGGGCGCAGCGATGTTATCTGGTGAGACGAATTTCTGAGTTGGCCTGTGGAGGTCTACTTCTGCTCTGCAGCATTTTATAAACGCCTCAAGTGCAGGGTTTTTACAAGATTCGAAAGTACGTGATGCATCAGTCTTTATAAGACAACGTTCCATGTCAGTAACTCTCTTATCTGCTTTGTTGGGTCCACATTTAAAGCTATCAAATACAACTTTAGCTCTCATTTTAGAAAACCATCTACACAAATCGTTCTCGAAGCGGCTTAGATCTGGTAGGGGAGGTGTAGGTGCAAACTTGTGAGACAAGAAAAAGACATAGAGTTGCTCTTTACTAATCTCTTTGTCTGTAAGATTTACAACTGTTCTGGACATGTTTTCCATTGACAAGTCTTCAACCTTGGGAAGAGTACCTTTGATTAACGTCCTCTGATGTCTGTGGGATGTGGTACGATTAATCTTTTTTCTCTTCCTTCTTCTCCTCTTCTTCGCAGGTTTAGCATTATCCACATATGAAGGTGCAACATAAATAGCATAGTCCTTATCTCTCTTCAACTTAGATTCATGACGCTTGGTAAGTTCAAGTTTCTCCTTGTGCATTAAATTAGATAAATGATTCTCTAAATTTTCATGATCTGATGGGGGAAGTGCAGATTTGATGCAGTTTTTGAAACTATAAAAGCTTTTACGCAAAGTCTGAGACCTGATTACTTGATTATCTATGACTAAGTCTAGCATTCTTGATTTCTGTAACTGGTTAAGCGCTTTACAGGATTCTACATAAAAAGTGTCTTTAACTGCACACCTAAAATTGATTTGAGTAGCAATACCTCTAGGGATATTACCGTGGTCTCTCGTAGTCTGTAAGTATCTCAATTGACAAGATGCCCTAACTGATCTAACTGCTAAGTTGTCCAATTTAGGCATCGGGGGACTCATAATGATAAATGTATATATATGTATATATAATGTTTGGCATCTTATAAAATATTTGCGACAAAGCGCGCAGCAATGCAATTGCAAATAAATCATAACATGGCGAATATTTTGTTAAGAATATGGCGCATATTTTGTTAGTCCGGCGATTATTTTTGTAACATGGTATTGTTGCAATTAAAGAGGGCTTAATAATGCACTGCATCATATTGAGTTCTGTATTTAGTTTTTGAGTTCTGTATTTAGTTTTTGTAATTTTTGTGCAACCAAGGGTTGCTTTTTCAATCAATTACGTAATACCTATTTTTTATTTCAATTGCACGATTATTTTCAAAATTTTGGCACAGATAGCATACCCAACATTGAATTTCTCAATAATCTTCGCTAAACTCCAAAATATGCTCATTGATCACCTATCCGTCCTACCCCAAATTTTAGACGTTTGAAATGACAAAATTAAAACTTCAGGCTCAACCCAGCTGCCATCGCAACTCGGAAACGTTTCCATGTCTGGCGGCGAATGCCCATATTGCAACCGTTACTTCAAGCAGATTAAAATACACATTCAGACAGTTCACTTCAAACTGAAACCCTACAAGTGTCAGTTTTGTAACCAGACATTTGGAAGGAGTGGGAACAGACTAATGCACATGAGAAACCGTCACCCAGTACTGTTCGATCAAAAGAAAGCGGAGATATTCTTCAGGAGAGAGCGGCTGGAGAGAGCTAACTTGTGAGAGAGGCTGGAGAGAGCTAACTTGTGAGAGAGGCCCAGCTGGAGAGAGCAAACTTGTGAGACTGAGTCTGGTATTTTGCTGAGTGGGAACAATATTTTCATTTGTTAGGTTTTATTTTAACGGGAATATGACTGTCATGTCTTTATGTTAATCATTAGATTATGTAATTCTACGCATATTACGGTGGTCATTACAGCGGTGAATATATGGTACTAGACTTCGATAGAACTTATTGTTCCAACGCGAATATAATAATTTTCGTCCGCCGTTTCTAAAGCATCAGTCCGAAAAGCATCACTCTTAACTGTACACAACTTATGTTAAAAAGCACTCGTATTCTTTCTGCCCATAAGACCAAGACAATAATACCTCAGACTTCAGCCAACACCTCAAGAACATGGCTCAATACAAAACATACGAAGGTGAGTGTCCCTACTGCAAACGTTACTTCAAACAAGTAAAGATCCACGTAGAGACAGTCCATCTCAAGCTGAAGCAGTACAGGTGTCAGTTCTGTGATAAGAGGTTTGGAAGAAGTGGAGATAGACTCGTTCATATGAGGAATGTGCACACTGAGGTGTACGATAAGAAATCAGCTGAGCAGTTCTTTAAGAGGGAGAGAATGGAGAGGGAGAGATGGGGTTAAAGTGAGGGTTTTAGTTGGGGTTTGACTAGGGTTCATGTACTTTTAGGGACAAAATGTATTTTATTTGCCGGAACGTTAAGCTGATCTATTTTTTGGTATTTCAAGCATCTGTCTAGCCGATAAAGCTCCGTAAATCGATAAATCTTGAACAATAAAAAGGGTGTATCTTACTCCATATAATTGTGTTGTTGCATAAAGAATTGACATTACTTCTTCAGCCCGGAAACGGAAACCTCATAACCGCATTGGACTCTGCCCTCACTGCAACGTCCATTTTGCTCGCCTAGACATCCATATACCAACCGTACATCTCAAGCTGAAGCAGTACAGGTGTCAGTTCTGTGATAAGAGGTTTGGAAGAAGTGGAGATAGACTCGTTCATATGAGGAATGTGCACACTGAGGTGTACGATAAGAAATCAGCTGAGCAGTTCTTTAAGAGGGAGCGGATGGAGAGGGAGAGATGGGGTTAAAGTGAGGGTTTTAGTTGGGGTTTAACTGTGGTTTATATACAACATGTATTTTATTTGTCGGAACTTTTTGCTGATCCATTTTGTTGGTAGTGCAAGCATCGGTCTAGCCGATAAAGCCCCGTATATCGATAAATCTTAAAACAATAAAAGCGCAGTACAGTGAGGATGTATATCATTCCATATTATTATCATGTTGTTGCATTTCTCTTTATTTAAACCGTAATGAATTTTCATATTATGAGGTTCAAACAAAAAATACATAACTGGCCAAAAATGAAGTTCAAAAGATCCATATTATTATGGAAGTAGAAGTAAGAAGGTCACTCAGTGAAAAAAGTAATACCAATCAGCCAAATTAACGTCTAAGAATTCTCGTGATATGAATTAATACCTTGATTCTCTTCCTCACTTTAGTTGGAAAGAGCAGTGGAGTATGTCCTCACTGCAACAAACGGTTTGCCTTCCTAAACATCCACATCAAGGAGGTCCACCTCAAGATAAAATGTTTTAAATGCCAGTTTTGCAACAGAAGATTTGTGCGGAGTGGTAATAGACTTGCACACATGAGAAATGTACACAAAGAACTGTTTGATCGTAATGAAGCGGATAGATTCTTCAGAATGGAGCGAGAGGAGAATGGTATAAGAGTAGGGCGACCTAGCTCTTATTTGGAGACTGATTTTCATAATAATCGACCCTGAAGGTCTGGACTCCAACTACTGATGATAAAGTGTGTGGAATTGGATACTTTCGGTGACTGTTTCGTAGGAAGATATATTTTTGATGTAGAAGCTGAGATAACCCTGTTAAATCGAAATAACTTTTATTATCTGGTTTAATTTACTATATTCCACTGTCTTATTTTCTGGTAAAAAAGAACTATTAAAGTTGAACATCTAAACATGACGGTTGATTTGTCATAACATATTTTGAAAGCGATCCAATTCTTCCAAGATACATCTAGGATCTTAGTGATATTGACCCTCGAATTAAAAACCATATTAACAAGCATGATACCCTAACATTAAACCCGGTCTAATACAGTGGTGTTATGCGGAACTGTGCAATTTTAAGTTCTGACATAAATATTTAAAGAATTGACTTTGCCTTCCTCTTCAGCCCGGAAACGGAAGCCCCATGACCGCAGTGGACTATGCCCTCGGTACTTTGCTTAAAGTACGTACTTGTACGTTACATTTTAAAGTACGTCTACTACTAGTACAGATGTATTTTTCACTGATTATAACTCTGTTCAGTTTGAATGACGCCACATGATTTTCTGTGAATATACTGTTTTCTTGTCGTATATTTGGCTGACATGTGTACAGTGTACACGAGTGGAAAAAGTTCAAGTAGTAGTGAAAGAGGACACCATCAAGTGTGATGGGAAATGTGACATCGCAAATACCTGTCATGATGAAGCTGTATGCAATGGCCGTACCTATGGAGTTCAGTGTGCAGAGGACAAGTATGTTCCAGTACATTGGATTTGCAATGGAAAGATAGGTTGCTTGAAAGGGGAGGATGAGAAAGGATGTAAAAATTTAACGGAAAAAGATTCATGTATTCATTTCTATAGCAGCAATTATCTTAATGATGCCAAAAAGGTCCCCATCATGGACCATACCAGGTGTGCCGTTTTTGACATACCCAAGAATGTTTTCCCTTACTGCCTGAATTTCAGGGACCAAACAAACTGTTTGGATAGCTCACGGATCGGAGGTAGGTGCGATGTCGATAGCACTCTGACTGATATATCAAAGAGCATGGTCTGCCTCAGTCCCATTTTCAAGACAGTACTCCCGAGAAGATATGATTCTCTTTGTGATCAAGATTTGGAAAATCGTTGTACTCAAAGTTCAAAAAATTGCATTATTCATCGTCACCGGATGTGTGATGGTGTAGAAGACTGCAAGGACAAAAGTGATGAACTTAATGATGATTGCGATTTAGTCACAGATCCTACGGTGTTAGCGTGCGAAAGGAGATTTGGTATTCCTGGCCAGAAAATGAAAATTCCTCTTTCATGGCTGAGGGATGGCATTAATGACTGTCTGTATAAGGAAGACGAACATGATAAGGGATGGAAACTATGTGATGAAGAAAGCCCGGTCACTCGGAGGGTGGTTGCGAACGACGACTCCTGTGAAGACGTGTTTCTTTGTCCGAGTACTGAAAAACAAACTTTTGTGAGACTCGATAGTAACGTTTTATGTGATGGGGTAGAATCTTGTGGCGACGATATTGAAAATAATGTTTGCAGAATTGCTAGAGATTTCCCAGTCATACAAAGAACGCTAACTGTTGAAAAAAACACCGCAGATCTCTGTAGTATGACCACGCAAAATGAAGATGACTGTGAAAAAACAACATTCAGGGGGTCTGATGGAGAAATCAAAATCTTTGGAGCAACAAAGCATCTAAAAATACCCATAACAAAAGTTGACTGTACAAAGATGTTCGGGGAGTTCTACGTCTACCTCAGCTGCATGGACCGCTGTATATACTCCAACTGTCCCCTTCCAGACACTCCCATCAAACACGATGCCTGTCCTGGACAGTATCCAGACCGCATATACTCTCTTGCAAACAATAGGTATCTCACATTTGTTACCAAATCGGATTCACATGCCGGATACCAGAACAACTATTTTCAATGCAATAACTCACGTTGTGTAGATTACAGTAAAGTTTGTGATCTCACCAACGACTGTGGCGATATGTCTGATGAACAAAACTGCAAGAACCATATTCAATGCAGAAATGAAAAGAATCATCTCATTTCTCTAGATCAGCAATGTGATGGAATGTTTGATTGCTACAGCTTATCGGATGAATGTAACGATAAATGTGGTAAACAGATATTAAACCATTGGTTTTTGAAAGGAGCGTGTTGGATATTAGGGCTGATGGCTGTCCTGTTCAACTTAATAATCATGGTTCAGATAGCTGTATCTGTTAACGGTGCAAAGACAGGGGTTATGCTTTTGACCAAGTTGCTATTGGGTTTAATTTGTCTTGGAGACTTGCTCAATGGGGTATACCTTGTCGCTATTTCCATCTATGACAGCCTCGTTTTCGGACCAGATTACTGTGAGAAGCAGGCTGAATGGCTATCTGGAACACCGTGTGCACTGTTAGGAGTAATAGGAACCATTGGAACACAGCTCTCTCTGTTCTCCATGACGACCCTAAGTCTCACCAGAGTGATAGGAATATCCTGCTCAGATATGACAGCTCCTTCTCGTGTCAACAAGAGATGGATAGCTATAATACTTGCAACACTGACAACCGTTATTGCTTGCTCTGCTTCTATAGCTTTGGTTCCTTTGGTCCCTTCATTGGAAGATTTCTTCGTACAAGGCATACACTACAATCCGAAGAACAGAATCTTTATTGGTTTCCCGAATAAAGAAAAGCACGTCAAGGTTCTTAGTTCATACAGCAAGACATCCGACTTATCTCTCGACACGACTTGGCATGATATTAGGGAGGCTGTGGCCAAAATGTTCACCGCAAACCACAGCACTCTGAGCTGGGATAACGTACACTTCTACGGCAATGATGGTGTATGTCTATTCAAATTCTTCGTGCGCAATGATGATGCTAGACGAAGTAGACAAACTGTTGAAACAGCATTTAAAGTTGTTGACATCATAGATTTTCAAGGAAACCTGATGCTGTGGATCGTGCTAGCAATAAACTTCTTCTGCTTTGTAGTGATCGGTGTATCATATATTCTGATTACACTACAAACTTGGAAATCTGCCGTGGACTCACAGCAAACCCAAAACCCTGAGACTCTCCGAAAAAACAAGAGGATACAACGCCGGATAACTCTGATGATCGGGACTGACTTCTCCTGCTGGGTGCCATTTATCATCGTGTGTTGTCTTCACAACGTCAAGTTTATTGATGCAACTGACTGGTACTTGTTCTTTGCAATGATTGTCCTCCCCATAAACTCAGTCATAAATCCTCTGATTTACGACAAGAACGACACCATATTGGGACCCACATTCTCCGTGTTCACTCGCACTGGAACACTGATGTACAACTCAAGGGTCGTCAGATATTTCCGAAATAATGAAAGACCACAAGATGGGATGGAGCTTCAAGAAATGCTGGAGAAACCATGCAGTGCGGCCACAAGCAAGAAAGAAAACATCCAGCTGAAAACATTCGAGGCACCAAAAAAAGACGCCAAACATCCAGTTTAAAACAGATAAGGCACCATTTAAAAGACAAGACGTCCAGTTCAAAACTTATAAGCAGCAACAAAAGGCACCTGGTTTAAAACAAATAAAGCACAAACTAGGGGAAAGACATCCAGTTCAAATTTCAAAACAAATAAAGCATCAACTAGGGGAAAGACATCCAGTTCAAAACAAATAGAGCACCAACTAAAGTAAAGACATCCAGATCTAAACTTCTAAACAAATAAACCACCTACCTACCTAATTCGTTCCAGATAAAGTCCGGAACGAATTTCGTGAGAACCTTCCTCTCCATTTATCTCTCTCACTCATGAGCTAACGAAACTTATCAGGTTCCAATCCAGTATCTTCTTGTAGGACGTCTGGAAAGGATTTGTGAGGTCGTCCTTGATACCGATGGCCACAGGGTGGTTGCCAGAAAAAGAGTTGCTGAGCAGGTTGGTCCTGTTAACGGTAGACATGTCCTGCAAAATTAAGTATTCGTGTCTTTATGCTTTTTTCTGTGGAATAATTCCGTAAAGAACCAATTAGTTAGGTGGGCGTGATTTCCACAAGATGCCAAAGACCCTTCGTAGAAAACTTGCACGGAAACCGTCTAGTGCTCGACAAGTTTTAGCATTTTTAAGATTCCACGTTTCTGCACCATACAGAAAAACTTGTAAAAAAGTAACAATTAGGGGAAACACATGATCCAGTTCAAAGAATTAAAGCACCAATCAGTGACCAACTAGTGGAAAGACATCCAGTTTAAAACAAATAAAGCACCAACTTGGGGACAAACAT